GAAACCTAATGGGTCGCACACAAAAAGGAATTGGAAGATTGCAAATTGTTAATTGGTTAATTTAACAATCGTTGGATAAATTAATTAATTGAATTTGTTATTTAGATTCCCGAATTAATTAATTGGATCAATTAATTCACGGACCGGGTTTAATTAAATGTATTAATTAAATATTGGACCGGATCGGGTTGAGCCCGTTTGGGTTTATATAAATACATGACTAGGGTTTGAGGTCCACATGATTTTCATTATTCTTGTTGGCACAAGAGAGAAAACCCTGGTAGCTGCAATCTTATTCTCTGTGTAGATCACCGTTGGAGGCTGGACAATTGGACAGTTGTGGATGGCGAATCAAGATTGCTGGAATGAAGAGAAAAGCAAAAGGTTTGCAGAATTCTTCAAAGGTACAATCTTTATCACGATTTCTATCTAAACACAAAGGGATCCTCGGTGAGAATTGAAATAATTTTAATTTTCCGTTGTGCATGTATAAGTAGATTCCCAACAACATGTACCGTAACACAGTATCATACCACCACCCGGAAACATTTCCTTTGATTGCGTTTACTTCACTTATGGTGGCCACAATTTTGTTATCTTGGATGGAATTCATTTTGGCCTCGAAGTTTTTTTGTTCTCGGTGCCTACAATCTTTGGCATAGTGACAAGATTTTTCACACATAAAACAACCTCATTTTGTCTTCTTCTTGGACTTGTTAAAATTCCTAGAAGGCTTCCTTTTGTTGGATTTTACCGACGGTTCTATTTTTTTCACAGCATTTGTTTTAGAAGAGCCCTCATGAGAATTTTCAGTTTTATCACGTATTCTCGACTCCTCTTCAATTCGAAGATGCTTTTTGCAATTGTTCCAAAGAATAATCTTCGGAACTATGCATGATCTTCTTTCGGTATCCTTTTCAAGTTTCGAAAAGTTTGGAAATTATAGCCCCAACTTGAAAGATCTCCGGTATATCAATTTTCACCGCCTTTAATTTGTTGACAATCACTTGCAACTCATGCACTTGAGGAAGAAGATGGATATTTTCTAAGAATTTAAAATCAAAATACTTAGAAATCAAAAATTTCTTTGTACCTTATTCTTCCGACTTGTACTTACTTTCCAATGCTTCTAGATTTCTTTTGCCAAAATTGTATTGGTGTATAGATCATACAAACAATCCGACAATGCATTCAAGATGTGGCCATGGCAAATCAATTCATCTTCTTGGCATTTTTGTCTCTCGGTCTTGATTGCTTCAGATTCTCCATTCGTTGGTTCCGACAAAGGCACCAAATTTGGATCAAGAATAAAAAAAATCTTCAACGCCGTTAGGAGGAATTTCAACTTGTCTTGCCACCGCGTGAAGTTAGTTTTGTCAAAACGATCCATTCTAACCAGATCTTGATTTATGAGTTTGATGATTGCTATAGTTGTATCATTCTCCATCACAGGATATAGTTTGAGATTGTTGGAAAATAAGAGGTTGGAGAAGAAACAACAACAAAATTATAAAAATAAAATGAATAGAAATCACGAAATACGTTAAGAACGAATTTGAGGCTTAAACACGGGATCGTTGTCCTCAAACTATATTTGTCCCCTCTCGGGATTAAATGAGATGCTTAAGGGTTTTGGCAAACGGTTTATAGGATTATATCAAGCCTTGTGAAGGATTTAACACCAAAACACAAGTGTAATCCTCCAAAATTTTAAGAACACAAAGGAAGATCTTGAATATGAATGTAAATCAATAGTTTGATTCAATATGGAATGATATATAGATCTCAAAATGTTTTCAATGATTCTAATAATGTTTGTATTGATCATTCATCACCTATTTATGGGTCTCAATCAATGTATCACGAAATGGTGCCAAAAAAAGATGAAAAGTGGCAACTTTTAATCCAAAATGGCTCCCAAATTTCAATTTGAAAAATCAGCCAACGACTGTTCTTTAACACTACGCGTATGCATAGTATAAATCGTGCGTATGCATAGTGGAAGCAAAATTTAATTCTGATTTTGTCAAAACACATCTTGCGTACGCACAAAATTAAGTATGTACGTACGCATAGGCAAAAAATCAAATTTTGCATTTTTCAATTTCTTTTGATTCTACCAATTTCACAATTGAGCCCAACAATTAGTCTATTATCATTCCGTTGATTTTGAAAAAAATATTCAACATCTAGTTCTTTTGGGGTTATAGTTGATGGTTGTTTCATAATTCCATCTCTACAACAGAATCGGACGTGAGAGTTTCTTCTCATCCAGCTCCTCACGAATAAAAGGATTAAAAACAACAACCCTTTAGAGGAAGGCCAAAACAAGGGGGACAATGAGTAGGAGAAATGGAGGTTTGGGCTCTAGAAGGATTTGGTGCTGCTCAAATTTTACAAGAGATACTTAGAGTTTGGCTCCAAACTCTTTGGAGAGTTTCTCCAAACTCTGCAAACAGTTTGGAGAGTTCGGCTAAAACTCTCGAGACTCTTCGAGTAGTTTGGAGAATTCTCCAAACTCTTCGAATAGTTTGGAGAGTTTGGCCAAAGTCTCGAACTCTCCGAACTATTATGAGAGTTTGGACAAACTCTCTGAACAGTTCAAATCGAGCATTTAGTTTTGCTAATTTTATTGTAGATACTAGCAAAAAATTTGCTGTGAAGTGTGCACATGGAAAGTGCGGAGTTGCTCCATTCTCCAAACTGTTTGAGAGTTCGGATCCAAACTGAGCTCCAAACTCTCCAAAACAGCTTGAAGAGGCATAGATTTTTTTTTTAATCCATTAGTATCAAACTCTCCAAAGAGTTTGGAGAGGCATAGATTTTTTTAATCCATTAGTATCAAGCTCTCCAACCTGTTTGGAGAGGCATATATATATTTTTTATATATTTTTAAATCCATTAGTATTAAACTCTCCAAACTGTTTAGAGAGTCTCCAAACAGTTTGGAGAGGTATAGATTTTTTTTAAAGAGAGCTTTCCAAACTATTTGAAGAGTTCGGGTTCAAACTGAGCTCCAAACTCTCTAACTGGTTTGGAGAGGAAAATCGACGAAAATGTGTTGGAGGAATGCCAGTTTTAGTACGGATAAGTGGAAAACTCGGAGATTTTAATCTATTTTTTTAACGCAACCAAATAGGGCTTAGTTCGTTGTTTATTATTGTTATGTGTATTTGGATGTCAAGATGCCATGTTCAACTTTATTTCATAATCCCTTTCTGCAGAGTCTGATAAAAAAATTAATTTCATTTGATGCAGCTGGTCTTCTGCTCCCATGTTCGAAATTCTCTCATCTCAACTTGGACAAGCAATTACTTTTGAGAAAATGATTCAATGGTGAGGATTAGATATTAACTCACTTGCTTATTTTAAATTACAATAACTAGTTTTAAGAGCTCAAGTACTAACATTTTTGTCATTTTTTAGGTGGTTTTATTCCTTCCAATGTTGTTCTTGCCACCATATGAGGATCCATTATAGGTCTCGTTGTTTATTTTCATACGTTTGTGCAATATGTTTATTTTGATTATTTATTTTGCTTTTATATAAGTAAATTTTTAACGTAGTCAAGGCTGCAAGAGTGAATAGAGTTAAGAGGTATATCTTCTTTAAGAAGCTGATAATCACCAGGTGCGGAGTTTCGCATTCAAGCGAACCCTCCGCACTGTGCAAAGAGCATTTTTTTTTAATTTTTTTTGAAACTAACATTTTTCTTACTTCTTCAGACAAAAAAAAAAAAAAAAATCAACTGTTAACTCTCCACACACTGTGAGAGTTCAACCGAACTCTCCACAGTGCGTTGAACTCTCATAGTGTGCGGAGAGTTCAAACTGGGAGAGCATTTTCCTACTTTTTCACGCAACATTCATTTATTTTTCTTCTCTTCTAAAATTTTCAACCCCCATTTTTTTCCTCTAGAAGTTGGCGAGTTTTGATTTTAAATTTTTAATGATGTTTGGTTTTTTATTTTCTGTTGTTGCAAGGTAAATAGCGTATATTTCTTGTTTTTTATTATACTGCTATTTTAGCTTATTAATGTTATCCTCAAGGTGGTTAGTCAAATAAGTACATATTTAAATACTTCAACTGAAAAATTATGTTAAACAAAAAAAATAAATAACCAAATAGCATTTGAAGTTGAATCTCCTCACACAATGTGAGAGTTAAAGCGAACTCTCCGCGTTGTACGGAGAGCATTTTAGTTTGCAAGCACACTCACGTGATTGGTTTGCCGATTCATTTAATTCTTCACCAAGTATACATTTGTTGTTTAGAATTTTTTTTTTTAAAATAATCATGATATAGTAATTAGAAAATAATTAATTTCGTAGTTCTCACTTATTTACTAATTTAAAGGGTTAATTTCACAAACGATCACTGAACTTAGGAGAAAGTTAAAAAATGGTCACTGAACTTTAAAACTTTCAGTAACGATCACTTAAGTTTCGGGACACTTTAAAAAATGATCACTGAAATTTAAAAACTTTCAAAAACGGTCATTGAAGTTCAAAAATATTTTTTCAATTTTTTTGGGCTACTTTTTGGCCACTTCTGATCACTGGTATCGCCGAATTTTGATACCGTTGAAAAACTTATAATGTTCTCTTCAATTACCATCCAAAATCTCATTGTAACTCCAAGAGTTTATCTATAATTTCTACACTAATAAAAACACAATAAATACAACATTCGTGCAAAGCACGCGTCAACTACTAGTAGTAAAATTACTCAGATCTAGCCCCTCGGGGCATAATCTAGTGGTACAAAGGATATGAGTGAGGTTATCTCACGTCTTGTTGGCAGTCGCAGTGTGGGGGTTCGATTTCTGAAACATGGAATTGAACTCCTTGTAGTGTACAAGCAGCTCTTGTTCTCTGGCCTGTTGGGACACATTCCGCTATTTACCTTCCTTACAAAACTCTAAAAACGGGGCGGTGGGGACCCTGGGTATGATTGAAATTTTTTTTTTTTTTTTTTTTTTTTTTTTTTTACCCTTTTTTTTTTTTTTTTTTTTTTTTTTTTTTTTAAATTAGTCAGATCCGAACTTTTTAAAAACCATACCAAATGGTCCTCAATCAATTGTTCAAGCTTCAAACCGGAGATTTCACACGCACGGGCACAGGTCCGCCTTTTACTCGCGACCGGCGACTCCCTGCTGCTCCACACTGCCTCAGCCTCTCACCTCGTCTCTCGCCACCTTCAACCACCGACCAACGGTGACCGAGGCCTCTCAGTTCTCACTTCGGTATTCTTATTTTCGGTAGTGACTTGTTTCCTTTTTCTTTTTCTTGATAATCAAATCTGGATATCTGCTGCTATTTGGCTGGTAAAATTCTCAGAAATGTAACATCCTGTTTGCTGTTTCTTTTTTTCCATTTTGGGGGGTTCAAGATTTAATTATGCCGTGTCCTTTTCATGGGTTTTTATCTGTCAGCTTTTCTCTAGCCCTTTTCTTGAATGGGTTTTTTCTATGAGGTATTGGAGATGAGTGCCAAAGCTTAGATAGAGATTAGTCACTCTTCCCTTACCAAGAAGGTTTGAATTTTGAAATTGGGGGGTTTTTTTAGTTAATTTGTTTATGCTAATATCTGCGTGAAATAATTCTAGTTTCGAAGTTTTTTGGAATATTTTGATCCATTGAGTTAATTGGTTGTTGCGTTCTTGTATGATTACATGTTAGTCGGTTATTGCATTCTTGTTTGTTTTAGTTGTGATATTGTTTTTGTGAAATGCTTGTTTTGTGTCCATGATAGTATTAAAAAGCTTGATGATGTTAGTTATAAAATGCTTGTTCGTTGCCTATTGGATTTGTTTTGAGGTTAGTGGTCTTGATAGAAATGCGAGTTGATAATGAAGTAGTCGTAAAATGATTTCAAAGTATGAAAACTCGCAATAAACAAGTGTAATTTATAAACTATGTTATTTTTGGTATTGTTGTAATATTGTTTTATATTTTTATCATCATTAAATCTATGGTCAAAAACTCAAAGTTCGGCATTGATTAAATTGTGCCCACACTGAAATTTTTATTTTTTATTTTTTTGACTCTGCCTCTGAAGATTCTCATCTTCCCGCTTCTTCAATTTTTTATTTCTTTCTTTTCTTTTCTTTTCATTTTTTTTTTTCAAAATTGTTGTTTCTTGATGTTAACATTTCTCCAGCTGCATCGTTTTTCTCTTGAACTTTGGATAGGGTTGTTTATGGTTATCTTCTTTCCTTTAGAACTGGCTGGCCCTTTAGAGTAATCTGTTAAATACCCAGTAGGGGCAACTGCTCCCACTAGAGCTCAGGTAGCTCAGCCCCTTTGTGCCAATATTAATTAATAAAAAAGTTGGGTTATTTTCCCTTCCATTTGGATTTTACCTGAATCTAGCAGCAAGAATCTGAATTATTGTTCTCTTATTTAAATATTTAATAGAAATGGAGGAATCTGAGAAAAGAAGGGAAAGGCTGAAAGCGATGCGAATGGAAGCAAGTCGAGGAGGGATTAATAACGTTCCTGAGAGTTCTGAAATTGTCAGTCATGGCCTTTCCAATCCTTTGATTGAAGGTGAAACTGCAATTACAGCTAACTATGCTTCTCCGAGGTTCGATTATTACACTGACCCTATGGCAGCATTCTCTGCAAACAAGAGGAGTAGTCAGGTCTCTCATCAGTCTCCACAACAATATTACAACACACCTCCAAGTAGCCAGGTCTCTCATCAGTCTCCACAACAATATTACAACACACCTCCAAGCAGCCAGGTCTCTCATCAGGCTCCACAACAATATTACAGCACGACTTCAAGTAACCGGCTTACTCTTGTCACGCATTTCTGTTGTTTTTAATGTATCAATGTCTTTTCCTGACTTCTCTCTGTTGAAATGTCGTTTGCTTCAATATGTGCTTGTGCTATAGGTCCTATGCCATGTACTAATTGGACATCTTTTGCTTCGTTGCTATGTGAATTGCTCTCATACTTTGTTTATAAGCGGTAACCTGAAAATGAAAAAGTGTTAGTATGCAGGAATTTTGACTGGGTAACATGAGGATATTGAACACAGTTTTGAGACTTAAAAAAATGAATTGAGAGAGACTGGATAATGTTTTATGTGATCATATGTGCGGTTATGCTTACGGTTTCTGGAGAATTTGGAAGGGTTAAAATATAATGAATGATTATCTTGTTTTATAACTTACTTTTCTAGTGAGAGAAAAGGGAGTTCTTTATTAATTTATCTTCAACATTATGAGTAAACTAAACTTGATTCACCTCGTGGAGTAAGTCGGAAATATTATTATTCAGAAGCCTGCTTAGATGGAACGACAATCAAGTTTTAAAGTGAAGATATAAGGTAATGAGCAACGGTGGGAAGAAGTTCAAGAAACACTATCAGTTATTACTCATCATTTTTTCCCATTTTGTGTTTGATAGTTTTGGTGTTGTAAACTATGGCGAGAGGCCAAACTTTACCAAACCGTTATTTGATTCACAGAGCATAGATTGTGAGTGGCTAACACTCATACAACAGAGAGAATGCAAGCAAATGCCATGGCCGGTACTTCCCTTGGCTCCTTGAGAAGATCTTCAACTAGATAAATATGTGTCATTACTGGTTCAGTAATATAGGCTCCACTTAGAATGTTACCATGACTCTGCCAGCATCGCATGTACGGTCATCTATGAAATGATCAGCACTTATTTTCTTCTAGAGAGCATACAACTCAACAATTGTTCTTCCTAACATATTTGGGCACATTATATTTTATGGGGACACGAAATTTTTGCACTGTAAGTAGACCATGATGTTAACGTTTATTGAATTTCTTTTAACAGGACCAAAGCATTTAGATAGGACTCAGTCCTCAGCGTATCAAGATCAATCTTTAAAATCTCCTGGTCAGAGAATATTCCAAGCACCCAGTGCCTTTCACAATTATGGTCCTGTCAGGAGCCCATCAGCCAGTTCTCCGGGTAGAAATCCTCTGAGCACATGGGGTGCATTTAACTATAGCGGTTCATCTAATTTGCCGAGAGGCAGTAACTTCATGAGTCCGGGCTTTGGACAAGGAGATACTCCTAATTTCAGTTATGGCCGGGGCAGAGGTCAAATGTACAACAGCAGTCCCTCGTATGGTTCAGGACGTGGAGCGAGTCCATATCCCGATTCCGGAAGAAGCAGGGGTAGATCATCAGGTTATAATAGCATGAGTCCTGGTTCAGGACAGAGAGGAAGGAGAGGTGCAAGTTCGCATAGTCCTGTCTCAGCAGAGCTAAGACCAGATCTATACTACAACCACGAAATGATCGAAGACCCCTGGACGGAGTTGAACCCTGTTATTTGGAAGAGTCAAAATGTTAACCCAAATTCTGAGAAATCGTCACTTCCAAAATCCATTAGCATGAAGAAACCTAAGGGTTCATCAGAATCTTCGAATAGATCAACTTCTGAGCCAAGCCTTGCTGAATACCTGGCTGCCTCGTTCAGTGAAGCAGCCAACAAGTAGGCTGGTGATGATTAGCCCAGCCAGCATATGGAGATTGTACTTTCCTGGCTAGCCCACTTCCTACCAATGCATCGGGTGGGCTGGCATTTGCTGTAATGAAAACATCAAGAAATGAACGCAGGTGGATATAATTTGCATTCGATACATTTCCAATTGTAGAACATCTGGTTGTAAAGTGTTATCTAGTAGCTAACCTTTTTTTTTCTAGCTAAACTGTGTCGAACGATTGTAGCAATGATTTTCATTTTTTCTTCCAGTAAAAGTTTAAAGAATCTTTAGAAGTGATAATTGTGGTGGTAATCTGTTGCCGCGTAATTTGTCCTGGTATTCTTTCCAGCCTGTGGCGGAGCCTTGTGAGGCTAGTGGAGTCTATTGTTAAATCAGGCTCACATTGAATTCGAGTCCCGACTCTGCTACAATTCCAGCAATTGAGTAACTACAATGATTCGTCCCGTTTGTCCTCCATTATCTTTCATTTTTTCTCTTCCTTTGAACCACATAATCTTCTATAAAATAATATAAAATGTATTTCGAAAGCTCTTCATTCTTTTTCAACTACATGTTCTTTAAAAAAAAAAAAAAAATACTATTCAGACCATTAAAATTTTAAAAAAATGGGAGCCAAATGGGGGCGAAATGTGAAAAACAAAGTCGTGCAGTTTCCTTGACAATGCGGTAGAATTTTATAAATAAATTGCAGTGATGCATTTTTTTGAACAATGATTCGAATGCTCTGTTCTTTATGTCTCTATATTCAACCTTCATCTTATTGGTTCTCGTTAGTTTCATACTGTCTGTACAATCCGTTGTCTAAGGGCATTTTTGGCATTGACAAGAACCTTATTCATAAATATTAACAATTCATAAAAATCGAACCAGTGCTGATCTTGCTTCCATCATATTTTGCTTCTCATATGGTAATTTAATGCACGAGTCAATAAAAAACTGTTACATTAATGTATCAAATAATCACTTGTCATGTGTATGCTACGTAGGACGATTACCTCTGTGAGCGACTACAAATAACATTACTATAATTATATTGCTGATCTTGCTTCCAACGTACAGCAGAGCAAAAATAAACGTTTGGCCAAAAAAAAAAAAATTCTATTTGCCCATAAAAATCAAATAAGCTAAGCACTCCTCCTGTGATCATATAATCGACAACGGTCTATTTTTCTCTTTTAGTGATGGGCTATGTGATGTTGCTAAAAGTTGACAAAAAAATAGTGGATCCTATGAATACGTGGTGAAAAAGTGGATGAAAGTTGCATGGCCAATAAAATATGTGGTTAAAATCGAAGTTTGATCAATTTTTTTAACAAATAAAACTTTACCGTACAAGCACTTAATTTATGAATTTGTTGACAATTGCTCCTCTAACAGTGAATTGCAGTTAAGCTACAGGAGGAATTCTTCTACTGATTGGGTAAAATTGAGTACAATTTTTATTATTTATATACCTTTACCGCTTATAATATTAACATTTACCGTCCAGTTTAATTATTTATTTATTTGAAAAAAGAAATGTGAAAGCATAAATGATAAATAAAATAAAACGATTCGGGGCGACAATAAAATTGAGTACAATTTTTATTATTTATATACCTTTACCGCTCATAATTTTTTCATTTACCGTCCAGTTTAATTATTTATTTATTTGAAAAAATAAATGTGAAAGCATAAATGATAAATAAAATAAAAAGATTCGGGGCGGCATAAATATATGTTGCCATCCCCTTGTTGAATGGTTAATGCTGAATGATCAGATTCATCTTGAAAAGTTCAATGGAAGAACAAACAATTGAGCAATTATTTGGGCAAGCCTCCAAAAACTATGCTCAATTTTTCAACTACTTAATTTAAGGTGGGGCAATTAGTCTTTGTAGGGAGGAATCGGGCAACTTAATTACATCTCTGATCTCCAATAGTTGATTGAGTTTGTCATAAAGATATAGTCAGGTCATATATGAGAATGAATTCAACATTACTCGAGAGAGATTGTTAAATATGATAGAAACATTGATTCTTTAATATTCAATCGTGTTGTCAAAGTGTAAAATTAATGTTAAAAATGATTATTGCATAGGAATTCATGATCTTGTTACGTTTATTATTCATTAGAACATATCAAATATCATTTAGCATAAATTTGCATTTAACTTAGTTACTTCACTCATCATTGCATAAGTAGATTATCTTAGTTCTAATTCTGTCACAAACAAACACTTTCACATAATTCTTGTTTCAATTAAGGTCATGGTAATAAAAATTGAACTGAATCAATCCTTGTAAGACGATATTTGGACTCACATCCACTTTATTACTTGTTAATGAACCGTACACTTGCGATTGTCTAAATCGAAAGATATTTTCATGAACAGGTATCGTGTTATTCTTAGAAAGGATATTGTGATACCTAAAGGGCGCTGTCAATTATTCCATTTGTTATCGGTAAATAACTTATGGTTGGAAAAGATATAAAGATGTTGACTTGTACACTCTTGCTATACATGGTGGTATGCCTTGGAATAATAAGAAGAACATCTAGTAATATATATCTTGGAAGCACAAGAAATTATTAGATATAAATATATTGAGCATCTAATGATACCGTTAACAATGTGAGATTCATGATATTTATGCAATTATTGCATATATTGAGAATCTCAACTATTGGTTGTGGATTGCATTGTGTTAGTGACCCAACTTCAAATGCACATAATTTTGATATACAACTCTAAATTACGATCTTTATTTATGTTGCATCCCAAATTTAATTATCTTTCTAATAGTATATCATTTTTTCTAAGTGTTGATGTGATTTTTTTTTTTTATCCATTTGCGATCCAACCAGTCCATCCAAATTCACTTTCAAATTGCAATTTTCACCACTTCATCAACTTTAAAATACCTTTCAAGGTCATATGGCCGATCAATACGTTATACATATTGAATGTGCTTGGTCACCATACACTCTCAAGATTAGCCCACTTTTCTCATTATCAATTAAGGCTCAACTTGTCTCTAAGAATGCTCAATCCAAAATCACTAGCATAGCTCGATCTTCCTTAATATCCAAGACAAAAAGTAAATTTATCCACTTTAATGACAACATCCTTTACAACATCTTGTGGATGCTTGATTGTTGTATTAACTAGCTGGAGAGACACTATGCCTTTACCTCTCCTAAACTAAATCTTATATTAGACATTAAGCCCTCGTTTGTTTATCATTTTTGGAAGAATGAGAATGAAAAATATAGCCGTTATGGTCCCACACAAGATATAAAAATTCAAATTTGGTGACTTGATGTGATGGATAATGGTTATATTTTTCGTTTTAATGAGGAAAAAATGGGAATGAAATAGGGACTAAGTTTACATTTATACCTAAATCACATAAAGTTACGAGTACAAAATTTATCAGTAGTACAAGGTATGTGAAACTCCCTAATCTTTTAACTCCGAAATCAGCTCATTTAGCACAAGTACTAAACTCTATATTTAAAAATAATGTATTGTACTAAAACTTTCTCTTTTTCAATAAAATATCCGTCAAAGAATAATTTTCGTGTATATTTCCAAAGGGAAGATTATAGAATATATAGTCACACAGGGAGATTATAGGCAACTATTTTAAGCCTTTACGAGATCTATGGCTACAATTAAGGTTGACCCTTGAATATAGGAATCCTTACAGTTAAGGTTTTTATGTCTTGCTCTTCTAATGACTCACGCAAACTGTAGGAACCCAAGAAATAAAATGAAATTAGGCTATTTTTTTTTTTTTTCATTTGTGACGATCTAGCACCACGAGCCTAGCCCATAAACGAACCTTATGCTCGACATGTTTTCTAAGTAGGAAGGAATTTAATATTGACCTTATGGTAAAATTTTATTTGTTTAAGACTAGATTCTCGTATATGTTATGACCGAACTATAAGGAAAATAGAGTCTATTAAGTTTTAATTGGGAATCTATGGTGTTCATTTATTTTGCCAGTTTAATAGGTTGTATAGACCAAGGACAATATATTATACCTAGGAATATATTTCATTATTGGTAGATAAACAAATCATTCAATTTTTCCAAACACACACACGTGTTTTCATAGTTTCAATACTCTTGGAAATTTGGATTGTATAGTTTCCATATATTTGAAAACTTGGAATGAAACCTAAAAATCAACCAATCAAATTCCTTTTGGGAAGGCAACCGTCCACCCCTTTTTTCAATTCCAATTGTTTTATATACTTTCCAATATATAAATATATATGTAATATTTACATTGAAACACATACACTTTGAACCAAAAACGTTCCAAGTAAGAGAGAGAAAAATTGAGGCGGATTTTTATTAAAAGAGAGAAAAGAGCATTGGTCGCATTCGGGAAACAATATTTACGTCCAACTTCATCAATTCAAAAGCATCAAATGAAGGTAGGTAGAGGTGCAAGTGTTATTTTCGTTTTCAAATTATGATTTTTCGTTAAAGATTTGAATGAAATGGTGCCTTCGGGTACGGTGCTTCGGTACCACTATAGTTTGAATGATCATTCTCCGGCTCTACGTGTTATGATAATGCTATAGATATCAGATTTTTCTAGAAATCCAACTACGTGCGACGGTATGAATCTATGGTTCGAATTTTCTAATTTGATTACGATATGCATCGATGATATCTATTGAGTTTCAAACTCATGGGTTAAATCCCTTCTTACAAGATGATTTGTTTTTGTTGTGGTGGTTGAAGATGCAATATGTCATGGAAAAGTCGGTGAATTAACGCCTTTAAATTGATTATGAAATATTTGCGTTTCCTTTTAATTAGTTTTCTATGGACATCATATGTGAAACTATTTCTACGAACATTTCCTTATGAATAAGTTATGTTTATATATATATATGTGTGTGTGTGTGATCTAGAATTTACTTACAAAACACCGTTTACAAGAAAAAAAGTGTTAACTATTTAATGTTGCTGTTTTCTTAAAAATTTCAGTTTCTGCTCAAATTTTAGAAATTTTTAACTAGTTTGTTACTTCAAATTTTTGAACAAATCCAATAGGGTTTGATAGCCTCATAAGTTAGCTACTAAATAAACTTGGAATCATGTCAATCCGATGCCGGTAAAATTTTATATGTCACTTTAAGTAAAAGGAGTGTTGCTGCTTTCTGAGAAAATTCCAGCTTCTGCCTTCGACCTTAAAATTCGTAACTTAATCGTTACTTGGGATTTTTGGACAAAACCAGTGGGATTTAATAGTCTCATGGATTAGCTACTGTACAAACCTAAAAT